ATATTACAAAAATTCAAAAATACTAAATACAGTATATTAAATAGAGTATTATACACTTATACAATATTAATACTGTATACTAAATACAGTATTAATATCAGAATTCTACTTAAAAATTCCATTAGTGCCAAGTGTGTTTATACGAAAATTTTTCGGAAGAATATGGCGTTAGCATTTCTGTGAAAGTTACAGCTGCAAAAGAAATTATTGCAAAGCTATAGTGGATAGAATTTATGATGGAATTTCACTGAAAGTTCATTGTCAGTGCTATATACTTCAATTCTTTCGTAACCGTAAGATTACCCGGAGAAATCCCCTCGATAGCGTAGTACTCCGTGACGGAATTCCTTTGAAACTGTAACGCTATGTAATCAAATTTCTCCGAAAGGATACTAATACATAATGACATTCCAAGATGTAACAGAAACTCCCACAAAAAAAAAAAACTTTACACGATCTTTACACTATCTTTACACGAGTCTATCCCCTCATGAAAAAGTGAAAAATTTCCGTTCATTTTTTGAAAAGCTCGAAATACAGACACTTTTAGTGTATTTTACACACGGAGAGACGTAATGATATGTTTACACAATTCTTTTCCTCTAAAAACACTCGAGATTACGCATGTAATCGAAAGTGTCAAAAATATTCTGCCACACACAAACGTAGTAACATTTCAACGAGATACACCCTCGAATCACACAAAGAGACGTGATGATGTTTTTAACAAAGCTCTTTTCCCTCTAAAAAGAAGAAAAAGACAAAAAAAAAAAAAAGAAAATACTCGAGAAATGCACAAATCACTCGTTTAATCCAAAAATACGCTGTACCACGCTCCGCGCATAACAAATGCATTACGAGGCAATGATTCGACGAAACACACGTCCTTCCACACGATGGAACATGTTGCTCGCGGATGCGGAAGAGGAAGCTCGCAAGGAGATATGACACTGGCGAGAGCCTCCATCCGAGAGTCTTCTCGTTAACAAATAAACAGACGTCGCGAGTAAAAAGAATACGCGATCAAAGAGGATCGAACGTCTGCAGAGATACTGCCGGAACTTCCGGCTCTGATCCCTCAAACGGATATTACTGCCGTTCTCTGTCGCTCGGGACGGGACGCCGCCATTGAAACCGACGCGTCGCGTCGATTCGAGGGAGAAAAGGACAGTTGAGGAACAAAACGAGAAGAAAAACGGGAGAAAGGGAGAAAAGGAAAAGGAAAAAAAAAAGAAGGAAAGGAAGAAAATCGCCATGGAGGAGAAGAACACGACTGTGCCGTTGGCTTGGAATCACGTCCGGCCGTGAGAGGGGAAAACAGAGGGAATAAAGTTGGTTACCTTTGGGATAAAAGTTGCCGAAATTGAACGAGGACCGGGATAAAATCCGGCGAATGGATCCGTTCGACTTTTTTTCTTTTTTTACAGGAAATCTGGGCGAGTGGTGATAGGTATAAAAGAATGAATGTGCGAAGATTAAGGGAAATTAGGGGATCGAGATGGGGAAGGAAAATTACGTGATTGAGATAATGGACGAGGCGAGCATGAAAGTTGCACCACTCTGGGAATATTGTTACATTTAAATGTAACAAGGCTGATGTATTCAATGAAATATAATATCGGGTAATCCTACGAGTTCGTTCCGCTTTTTATAATACTTATTTTGTGGTAAAAATTTGAAATATAGCTATGAGTGATATATGAAAATAGAATCATCCCCTTTTTGTTCTTAGCAAACACATCGCGTCGTCGCTGTAAAATTTCTTTTGCTTTCCATTAAAATGTTTTACATCAAACGGTTCTAATTACGAGCGATAATATCTTACAAGAAAAATTATGTAGAACCAAAGATCCTTTCTCAATGTTGAGCCTCGCATTCAAGGAACAAAAGCAATTTGCACGACATCGGGGAAATCACGATCGAAATCGACGCAGGAAATCTGACAACGATGAACAGATGACAAGCATGTTCCATCATCAAGAATAATGATACGATCGAGGCAGTCTGTGGTACTATTGTTGTCCATCCAGGGTACAATATGGCCGTCGGAACAAACGTTCGTGCACAATAGTCGCGAGATTGATGAATTTGTTTAGTATTTAGTAAGAAATCACTTTCGTCTATTAATTTATTAATTTCTCAGAGACACAGCGCAGACTGCAATATAAATGTGTAAATCTTAGCGAAAAGTCAGAATAATCAATTTCTGAGAATATAACAACAGATTGTAAGAAATCTCTCGGTTTCTGTCTCTCCCGAAATTGTAGATAATATTAATAATATTAATAAATAAATTGTAGATAATATTGGATGCGAGAAGCACTTTAGTGTGGAGATTCAATTATTCAAAAATCTTTTTAAACAACTTGTTAAAATTTGAAAGTTTTTAAAACGTTTTATATTTTGCACTTTTGCTTTAAAATTTTACATTTTTTAAAAGTAAAGTTATTGCAAGATTCTGCAATATTTAAAAATTCTATATTTCTACGAGCGAATTCACACAATCTGAATTATGTATTAATACAGGATACCAACATGCATGCCGCGAATATTTACACATTTTTGCGAATTTTAAAAGTGAAAAAGAATCAATGAAATTCCAAATATGGAATACCCAAAGTGGAACTACTTTTCGTAATATTTAACGGACGAAACGAATCACGAATTTTCTATTGATCTTCTAATTACAAAATATAGGTTAAGAAATATTATATCTTCTAATTAGTCAAAAGTACAAAAATACAATTAGTCTACCAATATGCATTTTACTCAAAAAAGAAAAAAAAAAGGCTTGAACTTTTAGGTTGAGAATATTGGCGATACAATTTTTCTTAATACAAATGAAACGTTGCGAAAAATCAGAATGCCCGAGTGGTGAACTGGGTCGAGTCAACAATGCCGCCTCGTTCCGTTCGCCGATTCCTTCGATATCGATACGAAAATTCCATTCGATATTCCCTAACACCCGGTCGAAGACGTTCCACGGGCGAATTTAGATTCAGCAGATTGCTACGTAGAACGGCGTGCCTCCAATTTCGCGACGAAATCTCCGCCAATTGCTAGAAAAAGGTTTCCGCGACTGCACTTCCGGGCAATTCGCTATCCACGAGGGCCGATTTAGAGCCTTGCAAGTCCCCAGCAACATCGAAAAAGTAACATCGAAAATGCGGGACCCGCATCCGACGGTCTCTCGTCATTTTCACCCGAGTTCCTCTGTTTTCTCGCGAATTTCGGCGAGCTGCTCTCTCGGTGATCGATCGTCACGATGAATTCCGGCATCAGGTTCAACGAGGCGGAAGTCTTTCAGTTTAACACGCTCGCGATCGATAACGCCTAGTTCTTTGCCAGAGTGTCGGTAACGTAGATCTGAGTTATTTTAAAATTGGCGCTCCTGCCAGCCGTGGGGCTTATTACACCGAATGATTGAAAACAATTTTCATTTGTCTGTAGATGAACAAGTATATATAATATAATAATATGAATGTAGTTCATATAACAGTAGTCGAGTTTGCAAAGTGAACGTAATGATACTTGCATGATGAGAAATTGATCACTCGTCGCTCGTCTTTTCATCAAAATTTCCATCTGTATCCTCGTTTCAAATTTTTATTCGGTTACATATTTTCTTTACACGTTGATTATTCAAAAGAAACTCTTACTATGGAAGAAGGAGATCATTTTCTGAATAACGTTCACGCGGATGCGTTTTTTGATTATAAATTAGAATTATCCGAAAGAGGCAAGGATGTTTCGGCATAATTCAGAATAACAAGAACCGATGAAGAGTCTGATAGAGTTCTATCGATATCGTATATCGAGAAGTAATATTTTTTTTCAGGTACTCAGCTGCTACGTTGCTTTCGAAATTAGCGCCGGTCGCGACTGTCTTAATAAATATTAATTCATTTTTAATCGTAGCTGATTAAAAATGGATCGCGTGACGAATATTTCATTTTTAGAGAATACGTTACACCAAAATATGTGACAACAAAATTCACTTTGTATTGAATTGTTTAGTCACTCGTGATATTTTCCCTAGAATATTCGTAACAGCAGAAAGTAGTTGCCTACTGTTCGCAACCGTGTTAAATGAATGACTTGAATGTTTTAAGAATTACTCGTGGCAAGTCGTAACAGTTTCAAATAGTTTCACTCGAAACAAAAATCAAACAAGAACGTTGCACTTTAAATACATTAACCAACTGACATTTCACCTCAAGTGATTTAATCATTTACTTTCTAAAGTACATTCATAACGTGAACGTGTCGTTCGGTATCTTCGTAGCTAACACCGACAACATATCTCTATCGCAATAAATTAAATTACAACATATAACAATAATAATATATCAATTACTGTACAACAATATGTATAACAGTACACGATATATAAATTATATAACAATACGTAAATTAAATTATAATCGATAATATAAAAGAACACACTGTGTGTTTCATATCCAAATGGTTGAAGCAAAATCGAAACGGAAGGTCTCTATTTAGCGCGGGAATTCCACGTAATTCCGACCGAATTCGTCCTCCCCCTCCCCATGATTGTTCATGATTGTTCAAGAATAATCCATCGATAAGCACGCCACCGAAAGAGCAAAACAGAGCATCCGGAGTACCCGCTGTTCCTCCCCCCCCCCTCCCCCCCTCCCCCTCCCGCCCGATTTGCGGAATACCATCTGAAACCCAACAGCCGGGGCAAACAATCGAGAACTGGCGTGGCGCGTCGTCTCCATCGACTGTTCTATAAAGGCATCCACCCACTTACCAAACACCTCGAAGCGTCTGTATCTTAACCAGCCACCGCCCCCATTGCCGCGAAACTGCTCGTCTCGAACAACGGGAACAAAACGGCGCACTGACGCGAGAGACGGAGACAAAAGACAAGAGAAACGAACGCGAGAGAACGGTGTATTAACCCTTTCACCTCCCCGCCCGTCCCGTCATCCCCCGCGAACAGTCGCTTATTCAATAATATCCGGATGACGAACCTGCGAGATTAGTCGCGAAATTCCAAAAGGACCATCGGCAGCCAAAGAGTTTCATCTCGCGCTCCTTCATGCCTGGGGCGTGCTGAAACGAGGACGAGGACGAGGAGGTGGATGATGCCAGGATCCCGTGGCTGCCTCGCGCTGATTCCCGAAATCAGGCATCGGTCGGACGCTCTTCCGTAATCCGCGCGGCATTCACAGAACCGCAATTTCCTGTGAAAAGATCTCGTGAGGCCGCCCTCCTATCCGGCTCGTTGCCGCTTCCTTCCTTCCTTCCTTCCTTCCTGCCTGCCTGCCTGCCTGCTGCTCCTTGCCACTGTCGAGTAATCCAAACGGCAGGGATTCTGGGAATCTCGCGCACCGCCACGACGACGACGACGACGACGACGACGACGACGACGACGACACTTCGCGTATCACTTCGTTCACTTTGCTTTGACTGATCGTCTCGTCTCGTCTCGTCTTGTCGCGTCCTCGAGGCGGATTCATGGGACACGCCGCTGAGGGCGCGCTTCGTCCGAGACGCTGCTGGTTCGGCGATGGATTTTCGTTTGAGATTTCCGTTTCGAGGCCCAAGGGTTTTCGAAGTGGAAGTCGGAAGATGGAATTGGTTAGTTACAGGGAATTGGCGATTTGGATTTTGATTTATACAGCATGGCTGTATCGGCGACAATGGAAAATCGTCGATAATTTAACCCTTTGCATACCTACGTCATGCTGGAGATGGCAATACTCTATTTACTCTAAAACACGTACGTCACGCTGTAGATGGTAACATTAAATAACTGTAAAACGCTAAAACGTGGGGCGACCATCGACATCAGATTTGGAGAATCGACTTGATGGGAAACTACACGTTTTAGTACCTCATGTCCTGAACGAAAAAACAACGATTGCGTGGTCTGTTCAAACAGAAAAGCTAAGGGCGAAAGGAAGACAACAGTTTATTTTTGCGAAACATGCGAAAGACATCCTTTCCTGCACGTTGGAAATTGTTTCAAAAAGTACCACACTTTAAAAGGTCCTAAAAAATTAAATCTTATTATAATAATAATAAATAAAATATATGTAATAATATATAAATATATAATAAATATAAAACACTGAATTCCATCGCTGTAAATTACTTCAGCTCATTTCCCTAAAAATAAATACAAGTTTACACCCAACAACATTGAAAATAAATCGATGTAGTTCAAACTTCGTAAAGAGAGAACAAGAGAATCACTCGGTCTCATTTTTAAGCGTGAAGCTTCTCGACAATTCCGATGATTTCATATTAGGTAGTGGGAAACTGGAGGACTGATTCTCCCTCTCTCGTTTCGAGAGAAATCTTTCTATTTCACGCTTCATAAAGCGAACTTTAATCTGAAGCATCCAAAAATCGAAGTGAACTCCGTATCAGAATCGTAGAAACGAGAGGAACACTCCAAGCGAAATAAACCAGAGAGAGAGAGAGAGAGAGAGAGAGAGAGAGAGAGAGAGACTGAAACCGCGAAAGAATCGAAGCTCGCGACTCGCGGTCGTTGGGAAACGATCACTCGGCAGATCGTAATAATCGGAATCGGCATTAGGATTCGACAGGCTAATGGCTCGGCCGGCGAGATACGAGCTGCAATACGGTTTATTGGCACAAGGGCGAACGGCACGCCGTTCATATCGAGTTTCTGCAACACCGGCGACGATATTTGTAGTCGAGTCAGCTGCGCCCCTCGAATAACTCCTGTCCCCATATGTTCTTCGCGCGCGAGCACGCGCGTCGCCCGTGCGCGCGATGACGAACAATCATTTTAATAGAACTGGTAGGCATATACCGGGCTGGCCAAAAAGTAATTGCGTTTCTTTTTTTTTTTTTTCGTAACAGATGAACATGTTAGAAGAACTTAGTTGTGAACGACGAGTATACTTGTCATGCGAGAAAAGTAATTAACCTCTTGCGCTGGAATGACGTGCCACGCACGTTGAGAATTTTTTTTTTTTTTTTTTGTCCCAAAATTGCAATATTTTCTCAGTTTTAGCTATATTTAGATATTACCCAGGCAGAACAAATAATCAATTTATTAATTCTGAATAATTTCTATCCGGTGATATCATACCGACGAGGTCAAAAGGAAAATCATTGTATACGGTTTGGTCACTCGTTATGGTCCGCAGTCGGTTGCCAGCGCGAGCGGTTAAATCAAACCGTTTGCGAAAAATAAATGAAGTACTTGTAAATCTTTGAATATCTTGAGACTAGACCTTTTCACATCATTTCGAAATATTCCCTTGCTATTAATATTAATTCTTGTTAATTAATATTAATTCATTAATTGAAATAAAATTATTGCTTAAATAACAAGTACCATCGCGAAGAGAATTCCTTTTCTTCTTTTTAAAGAAAGTTGATTAGGATTACTTTTAATTTAGGCGTGTCGCGCTTGTCGTTTAAAAAGTTCGTCAAGAGAGTAATGGTATTTAGATTTCCACCGAGTTTCAACCCGTTACTGATACACTTTTCATAGAACACGGCGGACGTGGCTGGCGGATGTTACCAAGGAACTTGCCCCGAGTAATAAGTTTCCAGTTTTTTTCCAAGTTTTCTTTATACATGACAAAGAACTTGGCCGAGCATGTAACTCGCGGCCATTTTGGAACTTCCACGCGGTAATAAGTTTTTAATTCTCTCAGTGGTTAAAGGCAACAGCCGATGGATTTTCCTTGCAGTGGAAAATTTAAGTTAATACAAATTAAGCGGAATACAAATTTAAAGAGAATTTAATAGAAACTGTGACTGTTTCTGGAATTTTTCAGAATAATGAAAGTCCTCCGACTGGAAAGTTTCAATAAATGTGGATTTATTTAAAAATGAATATTATTCAACAACTTTCGTCTTTTCGATTGTGAAAACACTATTAAACGATTTGAGAAAATTTGATTGCTATCAATTACCACAATTAAGACGAACTAGCAGAGTAAAAAGTTAATACATTATTCAAAATTAATTTACGTAAAGGAAAGTGATTAATTAATATTGCGCATCTTTTGTGCACTTGCATTAGAAAATTTTAAGATGTAAAAATTCGTAGAATGTGCAATTAGTCTCGAAAGTCTACGTACATTTGCAAATTAGGGATATTTAGAGAAAAAGAGGGTCTTGGAATATTTCACAGGTTTGTTGTTCAAAAATTATATAAATTTTGAGAAAATAACAATGTTTCTTTGTTAAGAAAAAGATCTTAAAATCTATTGTACAATTATTATTGATACTGTGAAATATGCAAAGTGCATTCTTGCTACAATAATAAATTTTATTCACTTTACTGTACATGCAATAATTATACTGTAAATTTTTATTTCATACGATCGTGCTACAGATACAAGAAACATTGTCAATATTTTAGAACTGGTCTAATTTTAACAAAAAAAAAAAAAAAAATTAATTCAAATTAAACTCATTCTGTCGTACGTGTTCTATTAGTAGAATTATCCTGTGCTCGTCAGGCAACAGTCACGCGCAAGATCTCAAATGACAGAAAAAATATATAGTGAACAGGAGCTAAAATTTTGTATAAAATTGAAAGATCGAAAGATCTTAAAATCTAATTGTACAATTATTAGTGATACTGTGAAATATGCAAAGTGTATTCTTGCTACAATAATAAATTTTATTCACTTTACTGTACATGCAATAATTATACTGTAAATTTTTATTTCATACGATCGTGCTACAGATACAAGAAACATTGTCAATATTTTAGAACTGGTCTAATTTTAACAAAAAAAAAAAAAAAAATTAATTCAAATTAAACTCATTCTGTCGTACGTGTTCTATTAGTAGAATTATCCTGTGCTCGTCAGACAACAGTCACGCGCAAGATCTCAAATGACAGAAAAAATATATAGTGAACAGGAGCTAAAATTTTGTATAAACTTGAAAGATCGAAAGATCTTAAAATCTAATTGTACAATTATTATTGATACTGTGAAATATGCAAAGTGTATTCTTGCTACAATAATAAATTTTATTCACTTTACTGTACATGCAATAATTATACTGTAAATTTTTATTTCATACGATCGTGCTACAGATACAAGAAACATTGTCAATATTTTAGAACTGGTCTAATTTTAACAAAAAAAAAAAAAAAAATTAATTCAAATTAAACTCATTCTGTCGTACGTGTTCTATTAGTAGAATTATCCTGTGCTCGTCAGACAACAGTCACGCGCAAGATCTCAAATGACAGAAAAAATATATAGTGAACAGGAGCTAAAATTTTGTATAAACTTGAAAGATCGAAAGATCTTAAAATCTAATTGTACAATTATTATTGATATTGTGAAATATGCAAAGTGCATTCTTGCTACAATAATAAATTTTATTCACTTTACTGTACATGCAATAATTATACTATAAATTTTTATTTCATACGATTGTGCTACAAATACAAGAAACATTGTCAATATTTTAGAACTGGTCTAATTTTAACAAAAAAAAAAAATAATAATAATTCAAATTAAATTCATTCTGTCGTACGTGTTCTATTAGTAGAATTATCCTGTGCTCGTCAGGCAACAATCACGCGCAAGATCTCAAATGACGGAAGAAATATAGTGAACAGGAGCTAAAAATTTGTATAAACTTAAAAGATCGAAAGATCTTAAAATCTATTGTATCATCAATTACCATTGATACGTAGATTTTAAGACAGGAAATATTATCAATATCATAAAATTGGTCCACGTATTGAACGTCGACATTTTGATGGAGGATCAGCTTCGAGCGAGATCGACGAGTTACCGAATTCATGAGTGGCTTTTGCGACCGGTGACTGGCGCTGATCCATAGTCAAACCGGTGGTACACGGCGGCTAGAGGAACGGCCGTGGCAACTTCCTGCCGAAGAAACTCCGAATCTATCGAGCGTGTCCTCGACTGGAAGCCCTTAATCTTGGCCAGCGTGCCGGCTAAGTCAACGGAAACTAACGTAGCCCATTACCGGCAGACGTATTATTAACTACTTGCCTGAATACAACGTCGCTCCCAACGTGCATTTGCATAATACGGAAACGCGGATACGTACGGGCGAGCGCGAGCGTTGTCCGCGTGACGCCGCGTCAACAGCCTCGCTGAAGCAAGCAAATAGACCTGGAAACTCATCGCAGAATTCGTGGAGAAAATTTGAAGAATTTTCGGAGGACAAATGTGATCGAGTCGAGATATCGTACTTAGCGTGGATTAACTTGATTGAAACCCTTAATGCTTTATGGTTCTTATTCTCAGTCTTCGGTAACCGAAAGTTAGTTATTCGTATTTTCATTCAATTCAAGTTAAAAATCGGAATTTTCGTATTAAGAGAGAATTTTATTAAACAATGTGTGCACCGTTTTGTTCCACAACTTCTCGCCATCTTTCGGGCAATTTCGACATTCTATGATTCTAAAATCTTCCAGTTTTCTGAGTAAAGATCTTCGTGATCGTAAACTTTGACAGCTCGTCTGCTGTGCTACTCTCTCACAGTGGAATCTCGTTGCATAGTTTCGTCGTATGATAAAGATCGAACGGTATTACTCTCATGAGAAAGAAAAGATCATTGGTCTAAATTTGGGAGAATCATTTGTAGAAATATCTTGAATCAACGAGAAAGATTATGTACGTTCTGAAAGATTTGAGAATATTTTATTTGTCTCTTATTTTTCAAGTAGTTTCAATTTAAAAAAATAATTATAAAAATATTCTAAAGCAATGAGACGAATCATTCATATTTGGAAGAAAATCGTTTCGAAAATATTTTCTTTCAATTATTCATTTATTTAAGTCTTAAAAAATCGTAGAAATATTTTAAACTAATTTCGAAGAATTGTTTTGGAAATATATTTCATTTATTTAAGTCTTAAAAAATCGTAGAAATATTTTAAACCAATTTCGAAGAATTGTTTTGGAAATATATTTCACTGATTTAAGTCCTAAAAAATCATCGTAGAAGTATTTTAAACCACTGAGACAAATCGTCGAACGATTTATATATCGA